GAAACTAGGATGTGTGCCTGGTTTTATGTAAATACGTCACCCGGATTGTTCCGTCGGCATCACAAGCAGACGAATCTGAGTGGTGGGTAGCCCTTGGTGTTGGGAATGAAGGGTTGGCAGGAGCGGACCTTAGCAGAGCTGCGTCCGAGGTCTTTTCTCGCTACTTCTGGTCCGCCAAGTGGTGGTGGCACTTTTCCCCATGCATCGTGTCCCTCGCGTGGCAATCAAATAGAAAACAATGTTGGTGTCGTTTGTACGTTGTACGTGGTTCATTGCTGACTGGATGGTTTCCCCTGTGTGCTTTAGGTGGTACTGAAGCTCAAGTTGGATTCCCAGCTGGACTTGAAAGAGCTGTGATCTTGCTGGCGCTACCCCTGGAGCTCGTAATTGTTGACACTTCCTGCCCCTGGAGGGAGGGGGATGTGTTGCTGCTGCATCTCCTATCCCGTGTTTCCCCTGCCACATCAAATTTAGCACCGCTGGCTCTGTGTACCATGCAAAATAAATTCTAGACACTCCCCCGACCTACATCTACATTATACAGGGTGTTTAAAAAACAGACCCGATTTGAAATCGCGAAATCTCTGCAACCACGAACCGCCCATAAATGAAACTCTTACCACTTGAAGTGGTGGGGCATAGAGTTTCTCCCAGTGCACAATCGGCCCCTACCATCAGTAATTCGCAAGATGGCGACCCCACAACACAAGGCGTTTTGCGTTCTGCAGTTCAGCAAGACTGAATCGGTAATTACGGTGCAGCGTGCGTTTCGACGGCGTTTTGCCACCGATCCGCCAATGTCAAAGAGCATTCGCCGTTGGTACCGACAATTTGAGGAAACGGGCTGTTTGTGTAAGGGGAAGAGTACGGGGCGACCACGCACCTCGGAGGAGAACGTGAGGAGAATTCAAGAAAGTTTCCTGCGTAGCCCGCGCAAGTCCACGCGATGCGTCAGCCGAGAACTTGCGATCCCTCACACGACGGTCTGGCGTACGGCAAGGCGACCTTCACTCGCGAAGCCATACCGCTTGCAACTGGTCCAGGCTCTTGGTGCGTGCGACAAAGGAAAGCGTGTGGAGTTTTGTGATGCCATGTTACAGAACATGGCGGACGACGGCTTCTTACCACGTTTGATTTTTAGCGACGAAGCAACGTTTCATCTCGGTGGTCAAGTCAACCGCCACAATGTGCACATTCGGGGATTGGAGAATCCACACGAAGCTGTTGAGCAGGAGTGCAATTCCCCCAAAGTGAACGTGTTTTGTGCCGTTTCTCAAAGAAAGGTTTACGGCCCTTTCTTTTTCGAGGGAAACGCAATAACGGGGCAAGTGTATCTCGAAATGCTGCAGAAATGGCTCTTTCCACAACTTAATGAAGATTCTAAGGACTTCATTTTTCAGCAAGACGACGCACCGCCGCATTGGCACCTGCAGGTTCGACGTTTTCTCAACGACGCGCTGCCTCGACGGTGGATCGGTCGCACGGGACCCCAAGACTTGGCGCTACACTCCTGGCCCCCAAGATCCCCAGACATCACACCCTGCGACTTTTTCTTGTGGGGGTACGTCAAAGACCGCGTTTTTGTGCCACCGTTAGCGACTAATCTGGATGACCTCAAGAACAGAATCACGGCAGCGGTGACGTCAGTGGAAGAAGGCACTTTGAGAGGCGTTTGGGACGAGTTTGGCTATTGCCTCGATGTTGTCCGTACAGCAGGTGGAGGGCACTTAGAGTATTTGTAAAATGGTTGGTGAAACTTGACAACTCGTTAAACCGTTTGTAACTTTTTGTGTAATTGTAACGTGTCGCCGTCGTGAAATGCACTGCTTTGAAATTGGGTCCATCTTTTTGAAACTCCTTGTACAGTAATTTATAATCTTTTATTTAAACCAGGAATGACATAAATACATGTTTGACTGGATCTATGAATAAATCGGAGGATCTAAGAATAAATCTGAGTTTGGACAGTACTTTCTGAGCAAAATCATGAATGATGCAATCTGAACCTGATATTGTAATACATGATGTGTAAATATCGTCACTGGGGAGACAAAGGCGGGCGTGCGTGTACCTGGCTAGCGACCCCCTCGTGTGTGCCGGCCTTCACTGGTCTTTGCGAACAGAACTTGCTTCCAACAGTCTGTTAAGGTGACATGGGGTATCTTTGTAAAGCCATGGAAGGAAGCCGGACATAAATACATGGAGGGCGAGGAGCGAGCATTGCCATGCGCAGATTCTGCAAATCTGTTCTGAACGGGTAACGTTCTAATGAGGGGGTGGGTGGGGGTCTCGTGATGAGGTTGTGAGCGAAGTTGCCATTGCAGCTGTACCAGCTCCGTGCGCGTGTCTGGGTGTTGTGAATAACATCCGACGTTGAAACGGCGACGTTCTGTGCGAGGATGCTACTCGACATGTGCATATGAAATTTGCAGATTTTAATTGTTACAAATTATACCAACCTGGGTAATCTTCTTGGTTCTTTCGGTAAAGTCACATAGAAGGGAAATAAATAAAAACAATTATTTTTCAGATGTGCTGCAGCTGTCTGAAAGGCACATGATATCACTAACTAACTTTAAAATGTTTTGGTTCAATTTGTTTCTTCCCCCCTTTTCGGGGCCGTTCATAAATGACGTCACGCGATTTTGGGCGATTTTTTACCCCCCCTCGTCACACGACGTCACAAAAAGTCAGACCCCCCCCCTCAAATATGACGTCACAAAGCTCTGCCCCCTCCCCCCCCAAAAACCATATTTCCATTTTGAAAATAAAACATGCTTCAAATCGCTTAACTTTTGTCATTGTAGTGCGTATTTAATGTGGCGCTGCACTCTGATGTTGTAGGGAGTGTTATAACAATTAGTGTTATAACAATTCTATATTTAAAGTTGCACATTTTGATGTGACGTCCATTTCACCCCCCCCCCCTCGTCACACATCGTCACCAGGTAAGGCTCCCCCCACTTGAGCTCCGTAAGCTCCTTTTCAGAAGCGACCCGGCCACCACGAATGGTAACGAAGTGGCTGATTATACAATCGTCATCACGCGGACATTGGTAGCAGCAATCAAATAGTGGACAACGCTGTAGGCCATGGGGCCATTGATTGGGAGAGCGGAGTGGGGGGAGGTGGGGGGAGAGGGTGGAGAGGAATGAGAGGTAATGGTGGGGAGGGTTGGGAGGAGAGGGATGGAGGGGGAGAGAGAGAGAGAGGTCCTGGTGGTGGAGGTGGTGGAGGTGGTGGAGGAGGCATCAACGCAATCCTCTTAGCCCGGGCGGATGAGTCCCCATTTCCACACCCCCATCCTGGTGCCCCCCCCCCCTCCTCCTAGCCCCCAGCCACACAAACACACGCAGCCCACCCCCACCGCTAGCACCAAGGTGCACACAGCAGGGAAGCCACAAGGGGCCATCGATTTAGCAGGTCGGCAAAAACCTGTCACAAGTTGACCCCTCTCTATCACAAGTTGACCCCTCTCTATCACAAGTTGACCCCTCTCTATCACAAGTTGACCTCTCTCCCTGTACGCACGCGGACTTCTTACACCCCCCCCCCCACCTGGGCACGATCGCCTGACCCCCCCCCCCCCTCCCCCCGAATCCTATAGAACGGCCGATATGTTATCGACGCAGAAACGATCAAGGATTAGTAATATTAACGTGTTAATACCATAATAATATTAACGTGTTTAAGCAAACAGTCCACCGCTGGACTATCTAACTCAACTGAAGGCCGATGTAGACACATTATTATCGAGGCTCCACCCCGCCCCCCACCCCCCCCGTTTCCTATGCGTCCATTGTCAGTAGACCCCCCCCCCCCATACGCATTTGGGTTACCCCCCCTCCCCCCTCCATGCGTACTCAATGGATGCCCCCCAACCGCTTCTCAGAGTTTTCAAAGTGTACCCCAAAGAGTTTTACAGTCCGGGTCACCGGCAACTCTCCAAGGTGCACCCAAGGAGCTGGGGGTGGGGGGGGCTAAGGCGGCTCGCAAGAGACACTTCGACAAACTGCGCTTCCCCAAGGAAGCTTTTGCAAAGCGCACAATAAAACACGCGTGCGGTCTTGTACCCCGGCAGGCAAGGCGTTCCATGAGGTAGGGGATGCGTTGTTGGCACGTACAGGTGTGTGGGTGTCTGTTGGGAGCGGTGGTGTAGCGGTTAGCGCGCTGAGCTATGAACCTGGCGACCCGGGTTCGATTCCCGCTCACGGCTAACACCAGTGACGATTATCTGAACCGGTCCTGGGCCTCCCCTAGGTCGACTCAGCCTTAAATGAGTACCTGGTGCAGTGTGAAAACATCGCCACTGGGGAGACAAAGGCGGTCGGGCGTGGTGCTGGCCACCCACCCCCTCGTGTACCGTTGCGGCCTTCATAGGTGCTCGCTAACAGCACTTGCCCCTACAGTCTGTTAAGGCTATACGGGGGATCTTTGTATTTGTACCTGCGTAGTGGTGGAGCGGTGGTTAGCGCACTGCGAAACGAACCCAGCGGCCTGCGTTCAATCCGTTCTCGTTCACGGCCAATAACAGTGGCGAACAAATCGATATGTGAAGATGATCTGGGTTTACCCAGCTCGAGACAAAGACGGCCGGGCATGCTGCTGCCCCCCCCCACCCCACCCATCTTCTCGTGTGTCGTACCAGCCTTGACAGGTACTACTCGCTAACAGCACTTGCCCCAACGGACTCTGAAGGCTATCCGGGGCATCTTTGGGTTTGTGTCCTCCGATCAGACCCGCTTTGCGCGCGGATTAGCGGGCCAATTCTGCTGATTGGGCCTCCTAATCCAGCCCTTGGGTCTCGTGGAGAGAGCACGCACGGGTCCCTGGACGAGCACTCACCCACCACGCACTGTTCGTCTAAAACTCAAGCATCGTTCACCAACAACAATAACAACAACAACCAACCACCTTACTCATCTATTGTCAACCATCCTGGGTCATTCATCCACCTCTGGGCTCAGCATCTTCCACTGGTCCAGCTCGCCGCCATCATCAGCATCACCACCAGCATCAATCAATCATCCCGTCCACCCCGTACAGCCATTCCTTGATCCACAGCTGCATCGGTCCATCACTCCTTCCACCCATTCACACCTCCATACGACATCGTCAGCAACATCGTCGTCGTCCTCATCGCCTGGCTAAACTGGACTGCTCGCGGTGCTGCGGGCAGTATGGTGGTGGTGATGGTGGTGATGGTGGTGATGGTGATGATGGTGGTGATGGTGGTGGGGGACGCGTTCAACAGAAACTCCGAGCTGCACCGCTGGATTTGAGAATTTGGCGAAGCACGGTGAGTGGCGTGGTGGGGTGGTGTCGACTGGTCTGGTATGAGTGGTGTTGTGTGAGGGGTGTGGTGTGAGTGGTGTGGTGTGAGTGGTGTGGTGTGAGGGGTGTGAGTGGTGTGGTGTGAGTGGTGTGGTGTGAGGAGTGTGGTGTGAGTGGTGTGGTGTGAGTGGTGTGAGTGGTGTGGCGTGGTGTAGAATTGTGAGATGTGAGTGTTGTCAGTGTAGGCTGGTGTGGTGTGAGTGGTGTGACGTGAGTGGTGTGCTGCTAGTGTAGGCTGGTGTGGTGTGAGTGGTGTGGTGTGAGTGGGGTGGTGTCAGTGTAGGCTGGTGTGGTGTGAGTGGTGTGAGTGGGGTGGTATCAGTGTAGGCTGGTGTGGTTTGGTGTGGACTGGTGTCTCATGGCAGTGTGTGCAGTGTCTCCGCGCATAACCAGCTGGCCGTGTGTGGTGACGCTGGTGGTGTGATCAGCGCAGTGGCGAGCGGGTCTGGCGAGTCGGCCGCGGTGTGTCTGTGTGCGGTCGTGTGCTCGGCGAGGTGGACTTGTGAAGGAGAGCCCGTGACGGGGCCATGGTCAGTGACCCAGCCTCACCCACACGCTCACCCAGCATCTGACCTTGCGGCCTTCACGAATCGTGCTCCAACGATGAAATGACAGAATCAATAAATACGCGGGCAACACGTCTCCTTTACCTATCTGTCTCTGACCTCCACTGGCTTCTCGATCTCCATCAGAATGGCCTTCAAAATCGCCTGCCTCTGTGTCACTGCCTGCAGGACCGGTCGCCCTTCATACCTCTCGGGCCTCGTGATGTCCTGTCCCAAAATCATCGCCAGAACTCGACCCAGGAGTTACTCTCGACACCGAGAGTCAGGGACATGATCGCCATGCGTCGTTTCTCCGTCCACATTCGCAGCGCTTGACTCTTTACCTAACTTTAAGCGCCTTCTCAAACAACATCATTTTTCTATTCTTGGTTCTTTCGGTAAAGTCACGTAAATAGAAAATCCAAGAAAAATAACAGTTAATAAAATAAAATTATAATAATACATTGAAAAGAATAAAATCAACCCACGACGTTTCGATCGCAACACAAACGGTCTTATTTTATTATTTGTTATTTTAATTTTATTTTCTATCTACGTGACTTTACCGAAAGAACCAATAATATGAATTCCTGCAGTCACGAAAGTTTTGAGTCAAAATTTAACATATTTTTTTATTTGACTTCTACTGAGCGGATCTCTGAGCTGGACTGCTTTCGAGAAAGTGAAAATTGTACGCGTTACAAATCGTCATGCTTATTACTAATCTCGAAATACAAAACCATCTGAGTGTTTGTTACACAACCCATCGGCCACGCGGCCTTCTGCGATTGCATAATTCCATCAGGATTAGTTCCAGACAAGAATTACTCGGGGACGGAGTCGAGGCCCCAGTGTCTCATCGGCAGCAGAGTCCGCCTTGCCTGACTGAATCGATGCTGGCGAACTGCCGATCTTACAATCAAACCCCCCCCCAATTCCTTCCGATACGATGGTCCTATAGAGCAATAGGGTGACTCTCTACCTGTGCGTCTGTGTCACAGCTGCACGTGTAATGATGGACCTGCGTGCCACGTGTTTGAAACTCACACTCTTATGTTTTTTCGGTAAAGTCACGTAGGTAAAAAATACTAAAAATAAATAATAATAAATGAAAATAAATCAATTAAATCACGACGTTTCGGAGGCAACACAAGTCTCCGTCTTCAGGTGGGACCGTCACAGCCAAATTTACTGTGACGGTCCCACCTGAAGACGGAGACTTGTGTCCCAAGTTTCTTCGCCTACTACGCTCAACACTGTACACCACACTCCACACTTCTCTCCACACACTTTGGTCTTAACCAGACTCTCCGCTCATCCGTTGCATCAGCTGCCTTCTGCTGCTGCCGAACGCCGGTTTCCCCGTGGCAATCCTGGCTCTAATCTCATTTAAGCACCGGCCATCTTCTGCCAGAATGCTTCCCAGATGAACCCACATTATCCCACTGATTACCCACTGTTGATCATCCACCGAGACGTTGACCAGCTTTCACCTTCACCTGTGATTTCCATTGTTATTATTTTATGTAAATCCATTCTTTATTCCCAAGTCTCTCACAGAACTTGGTTCAGGATTTCTAAGAATCGACTAGGTTGGTTCACCGCTTGTGCCCTTTCCCGCCAGGTCACGCCACCGTGACGACACTTGGCTGGGGGCTGAGCCTCGCGCGTCACGTGACGGTGGTGGTGAACTGCAGCCCAATCAGAAGCTGCCGCGCGATGTCCCCACGTGACCCCAGCGTCGAGGCGTCATCGACGCCGACTTGCAGAGCGGAGACGGTGGCTGCTTTCAATAATGTGCGACGGGAACTTACAAACAATGGTGGCGTCAAGGACAACAACAAAAACAACAGCAACAGCCTTAACGACATCCATTACAACAACGACAACAACAATATTGGCATTAACATCGTCGAACAGAACGGCAGAAGCAACAGTAATATCCGCGATGACGTCATAAAGAAAAGCGATGACGTCATAAAGAAAAGCGATGGCGTCATAAGGAATATCAATGGGGCCGCGACGACGAGGGGAGGGGCCGGGCACGGCGTGACCGCCCCACATCACGTGGATCGCCTGGCCAATCACCCGCGGTGGCGGGGCACGGCGGTGGCGCGCCACTTGTGGTTGCTGCATGCGGCGCTGGTCACGTGGGAGCTCACGTCGCCGTGGCAACGGCCGGGACATGACGCCGCGTGGTTATCGAGGACCGACGCTCACGCGCAGGATGAGTCGTCGAAAACCGGATGGATGGACGAGGAGAGGAGACGAAAGATGGGGAAAGTGATGACGACGACGATACTGATGATGGTGACAATGATGATGATGATGAGGGACGTGCCATCGTCGATGATGACGATGACGCCAATGATTATGCCGACGCCAAAGGCAGCGATGGTCATTGTGGTGGTGATGATGATGACGACGTTGATGACAATTGCGATGAGGTGGCAGAGGAGGAGGAAGAGCAGGGAGATGATGCAAGAGTGTCCAGTGGACGACAGGCCACAAGAGCCATCGTTGATGATACGGCCACCACGGCACCTGCGGCAGTTGCAGCCTTGGAGACTCCTGCATCAGTCACCACCCAGACAGCTGCAACAGTCACCACCCAGACAGCTGCAACAGTCACCACCCAGACAGCTGCATCAGTTACCACCCAGACAGCTGCATCAGTCCCCACCCCGGCAGCTGCAACAGTCTCCACGTCCCGCGCTGCTCCTACCCCTGCTGCTGCCGCCGCTGCTGCTGCTGCTGTGGCTGCCGCGTCCCGGGCTGGGCGCCACCTTCACGGTGGGCGTGGCGGGGCCCTGGCAGTGCGGCGACACGGCGCTCTTCGGCCGCGCCCACGCCGAGCTGGCGGGGCGCCTGGCCGCCGAGCGCGCCAACTCGGAGCTCTCGGTGCCGGGGCCCGGCCGCGAGCCGCTCGGCTACTGGTTGGAGGCCACGGCGCTCCGGGAGGAGTGCGAGGTCCCCCGCGCGCTGCAGGTAGGGCCCTCCAAACGGAGCCCACACGACGAGTCTGGACCGAACGGTAACCTACGACCGGTACCCACCGACAGGTGCCCACCGACAGGTGCCCACACAACGGGTGGCAAACCGACCGATGCCCACACGACAAGACTCATCGACCGATCCCGATCGTCCGTTCCCCCTTGACCCTTTCCTCACGTGCATCGTGCGTTGGACCTCTCTTCCACCGTTGTGCGTGACTCTTCAGTGACTCTGTGACTCTTCAGTGACTCTTCTGTGACTCTGTGACTCTGTGACTCTTCAGTGACTCTTCAGTGACTCTGTGACTCTGTGACTCTTCAGTGACTCTGTGACTCTTCAGTGACTCTTCAGTGACTCTTCAGTGACTCTGTGACTCTGTGACTCTTCAGTGAATGACCCCTCTGTGTTCGCGAGCACCGTGGGACAGCTGAGCCCGCACAGAGAGAGCGCGAGCGAGCCGGAGCAGGCGAGGCGGTTGTGCGAGGCTCGGAGTGCGCTGACGGTGCAGCAGGTTTTAGTTCGTCGTTTATCGAATTCTCATTCGCGTAAAAAATTATGAAAATGTTCCTGATGATGATCGCTTGTGTTGTGATCGAAACGTCGTAGTTTTTTTTATTTTCTTTGAACCTATCTACGTGATTCTACCGAAAGACCCAAAGAATATAAAATACACAACGCTGAGGTAAATTCTTTACAGTGTCTTGTCCTCTTCTCCCCAATATATGCACTTACTACTATAGGGTCGGTAGATACTACTATTATAGTTCTTAGATACTATTACTGTAGAGCGGGCGGGGGGATGGTGGGGTGGGGGGTAGTAGCCCAGCCCAGCCTGCAAAGGTGCCACCTCGGCCGGCTGGGCAATCTAGGCGAGGCCGGGGGCTCTGCATTGGACTAGGCCTCACCACTACCCTCTGTGAAGTTAGTACTATTATCCACTGATACTACTATAGAGTCAGTAGATACTACTGTATAGTTAGTAGTTACTACTATAGTCAGTGGATACTACTATATTCAGTAATTAATACTATAGTCAGTAGATACTACTATTAAGTCAATAGATACTACTGTAACGACTCCTGACTCAAGCTGTAGAGGTTTCTTTCGGTAAAGTAATGTAGATAGAAAATACAAAAAAAATAACAGGTAATAAAATTATCTCGTCATGAGATAATGCCGATGTGGAGATCATATGACCGAGCAGACAGGGACGACGTGAAGACAGCGACGACGTGAAGACAGCGACGATGACCCGAGTCCCTCTAGACAGCCCCCAACCTCCCTTCTTGCCCTGCTTTTATCCTCGTGGATTCTCCGGGAGAATTTCCCCAGCCGTCTATTTTGGACATCCTGGGGAATTTCCCAACGAAGATCCTCCAGACTTGCTGGTGCCGTGTCTTTGCATCCAGCCTCGCTGACACACTGTCTTCACATTGAGACTTGCTGACACAGTCTTTACACTACTATAGATTCAGTAGGTACTACTATAGGCATTAGATACTACTGCAAGAATCAGTAGTTACTGCTATAGAGTCGGTAGATACTACTATAGTCGGTAGATACTACCGTAGAGTCGGTAGATACTACTATAGTATGTAGATAATTCTACAGTCAGTAGATTCCACTACAGTCAGTAGATACTGCTGCAGAGTCAGTAGTAATGACTATAGAGTTAATATATGCTACTATAGAGTCAGTAGATACTGCTGCAGAGTCAGTAGATACTACTATAGAGTCAGTAGATACTACTATAGAGTCAGTGGATACTACTATAGAGTCGGTAGATATTACTATAGAGTTAATAAATACTACTGTAGAGTCAATAGATACTACTGTAGAGCCAGTAGATACTACTGTAGAGCCAGATACTACTGCAGAGTCAGATACTACTAGAAAGTCACTAGATACTACTCACTCTGTTGTATGTAGGGTGTGTAGGTGTATATGCCTATGCGGGGGTAAAAATATGTTTTGAGCGGGGGTGGGTCGACAATTTTCGGAAACCTTTTTGATCAACTATTTCCTCCCCCACTTTCTAAAAGTTTTGGACTTCTGCAAGCCTCTTATGATTTTGTTGACGGACAAATGGACAGACAAACGGCGCGCCGGGCTTTCACAACAGCTTACTATTTGTGTATGTATATGTATATGTTTTCAAGAGGGTACTAATTTTTCTAAGCATTTTTTTACGTTTCATTTTAAAGATTCTAATTCTGATACGAGACGCTGCCGGCGTCCGCAGGGAATGTCCACGTGGGAGCGTCGCTGTTCGGCGGTGGTGGGGCCCTTCAATGCGGAGCTGTGCGAGGTGGCCGCCATGCTGACCCAGCGCTGGGACAAGGCGATGGTGGGGCCGGCCTGCCTCAGCCGCAGGCTCACGCGGCCGCAACGTGGAGGGGGGGCCGACAGCAACGACGACGGCGACAAAGAGCAGTGAGTGCGTGGGAGGGAGGGGGTGGGGGTCAACAACGTTGGGGGGGGGGGGCAACGTTGGCCCAGGTAAGGGTCAAAGGTATGGATTAGTAGGGTCAGGGTATGGGTCCGTAGGGTTAGAGTATAGGTCACTAGGATCAAGGTATGGATCACCAGGGTCAGGGTATGGGTCACCAAGGTCAGGGTTTGGGTCAGTAGGGTCAGGATATGGGTCAGCAGGGTCAGGTTAAGGCTCGGTAGGGTCAGGGTATGGATCACCAGGGTCAGGGTATGGGTCACCAAGGTCAGGATATGGGTCAACAGGCTCAGGCTATGGGTCACCAAGGTCAGGCTATGGGTCGGTAGGGTTAGGGTATGGGTCACCAAGGTCAGGGTTTGGGTCAACAGGCTCAGGCTATGGGTCAGTAGGGTCAGGGTATGGGTAGGTAGGGCCTAGATATGGGTCGGTAGGGTTAGGGCATACGTCACTAGGATCAGGGTATGGATCACCAGGGTCAGGCTATGGGTCAACAGGCTCAGGCTATGGGTCGGTAGGGTCAGCGTTCTGTCGCCGGGATCACGAATCCGGATTCCGTGGTGGCGATTAGCAGTGAAGCGTCACCTCGCTAGCGCTGGGCCTGATCCCACCTCCCCCTCCCCCTCTCAGGGACGATCTCTCCACACACTTTGCCAACATGGCGCCGTCTCCGGCCGACGCGCTCTTCGCCGTGCTGCGTCACCTGCGCTGGGCGCGCATCGCCGTGGTCACCGTGGAGGTAGCGGCCACGGCGGCTTTGACCCCCGCGCGGCGCACGTGGACACGTAGACACGTAGACAAGGACGATCCTCCACCACGGACTCAACGCCACTCTCACAGCGGCGGCGGTGGTGGTGGTGTTTGTGGTTGCGGCGGTGTGTGTCATGGTGGTCGTGGTGGTGGTGATTATGATGGTGGTGGTCGTGTCGGTGGTTATTGCTGCTCACTCAGAGGAGGAGTTGAAGGCGCTGCTGCTGCAGCTTGACCTGGAGCGTGACACTAAGAGATGGGGGCTTTGTCATCAGCCCCGACAAAACTAAGCACCTGCCTGGGTATTTTGTGTCATCAAACACTCCACCCCCCTCAACTCCCCAATTGGCGATGGGGCAGTTGTGGAGAGAGTGGAGAGGTTTCCGTACCTGGGCAGTGTGCTGATAACCAGCTCCGGTTTGACAACAGAGGTCTCACTCCGAATCAACCGAGCGACATTATCCTTTCATCGGCTGCGTAATGCTGCGTGGAAGCTACCCGGTCTGTCGCTCAACGGGAAGCTTCGGCTCTTCTCGGCCACGGTCATGTCCTCCCTTCCCTACGCTTGCGAAACGTGGACCTCCCTAATGGACCGTCTTTGCCGGTTAGAAACATTCAGGCTGGCCTGCCTACGATCCATCCTGGTTTAACCAGCAGACTGGATTGTGTGAGGACCTCACAGACCCTCGACAGATGTGGACACAGTCCCATCGGTGAGCTCATCTGGCAGTCAAAACTGCGTTGGCTGGGTCATCTATCCCGCATACCCAGCTACCGCATGCCCAAACAGATTTTGTTCGGCCATACATAGGGTGCTAAATGTGCGCGGCACAGACTAGAGAAGAGATGGAGTGATGTGGTCCAAGAGGATATGGAACTGACTCGATTTGTCAATGTGGTGGTGGCTTTGCGTGTCGTGATGGTGGTGGTGGTGACTCTGCGTGTCGTCATCGTGATCGTGGTGGTGACTGCGCGTGTCGTGATCGTGGTGGTGGTGGTTGCGCGTGTCGTGATTGTGGTGGTGTGTGTCGTGATCGTGGTGGTGGTGGTTGCGGTGCGAGCAGGCGAGCGAGTCGGGCTCGGCGGTGTGGCGCGGCGCGGCGCGCGAGTTGGTGCGCGCCGTGCGGGCGCGGGGACTGCTCGTGCTGGAGCTGCCGCCCGTGTCCACGCCCCACGACAACCACGACAGCCACGACAGCCACGGCAGTGACGGCGGCAGCCACGACAGCCACGACCGAGCGCTCTCCATGGCGTCGCGCTTCGGCGCTCGCGGTGAGCGCTGCTGCGTCCCCGCGCGCGGGGCCTGACGGATGTTAACTCCCTCGCCCGGTATGCAAGAGGTCTTTGGGTTTAGATCCCGACCCTTGACCCCTGTTGTACATTTGGATTTGTATGTATGTGTATGTATGTACGTGTGTACGTATGTATGTGTGTATGTATGTGTGTGTATGTATGTATGTGTGTATGTGTGTTTGTGTGTGTATGTATGTGTGTATGTATGTGTGCATGTATGTATGTGTGTATGTATGTGTGTATGTATGTGTGCATGTATGTATGTGTGTATGTATGTGTGTATGTACGTGTGTATGTACGTATGTGTGTATGTATGTGTGTGCCTGGCACAAGCGTCGTGGTGACGTCACCACCACTTAGTGGCGAATGGCGGTTGTTGTTGTGTGTATGTATGTATGTGTGTATGTATGTGTGTGTGTTGAACAGCACAGATGCCATATTTTCTGTCCGTCTGCTACAGCAGAGGTGTAGGAAATTCCAACAAGACCTACATCTCTACTTTATTGACCTGGTCAAGGCCTATGATACCATCAGTAGGCCTGGGCTCTGGGTTGTTCTTCGTGCTTTCAGAGTCCCTGACCCTCTGCTCACGATCATTAAGGACCTTCATGATGGTGAGCGGGCCCGGGTAAAACTACGTGGCCGGGAGTCAAAGCCATTCCCTGTACACCTTGGGGTGCGACAGGGATGTCCTCTGGCTCCCACATTATTTAACATCTATTTTGACCACGTAGTTCGTGAAGCCTTCAATAACTGTCCAGGGGAATTTCCATTTGATACAGATATAATGGGAGGTCAAGGGATGGCTCCCTATTGGTCAACCACGTTATGTATTTTGATTTAAAGCTTTCGTGACTGCAGGGATTCATCTTCTTGGTTCTTTCGGTAAAGTCACGTAGAAGGGAAGTAATAAAATAATAAAAATAAAACATAATAAAATTATTCTCACGACGTTTCGGCCACAACGCAAGCAGCCGTCCTCAGGTGAAAACCAGGTCCGTTGAGGCGACAGAGTCTGAATGAAACAGCACACGAGCTTGGAGCATATATATAAGCTGGGCGCCTTGACAAAGGAATTTGCATATCAAATTCCTCTTGATATGCAAATTCCTTTGTCAAGGCGCCCAGCTTATATATATGCTCCAAGCTCGTGTGCTGTTTTATTCAGACTCTGTCGCCTCGACGGACCTGGTTTTCACCTGAGGACGGCTGCTTGCGTTGTGGCCGAAACGTCGTGAGAAAAATTTTATTATGTTTTATTTTTATTATTTTATTATTTCCCTTCTACGTGACTTTACCGAAAGAACCAAGAACACGTTATGTATGCCGATGATTTGGTAATAGCTGCTCATTCAGAGGAGGAGTTGGAGACGCTGTTGCTGAAACTGGAGCGTGCCACTAAGAGGTGGGGCCTTACCATCAGCCCAACCAAAAACACATTCCTGCGGAGGGAACTGGTAGGAACGTTGGGTTACTCGGTCAATGGCCAGGGTCAACGGCGGCGTGGTGTATTCCGCAAATATGCCCGACTGTGAGGGCGGGCACAAGCCGGCGTGAGTAGGTGAAACGTTGAGTTTTATAAGGGCACCACGGGGTGACCAACCCCTCCCCACCCAGCCCCACCCCTCCCACCCCCCACCCAGCCCCACCCTCCCCACCCAGCCCCTCCCTACCCTCCCCTCCCCACCCAGCACCTCCCTCCCCACCCAGCCCCTCCCTGCACGATGGACGGACGGACACAATAATCCCCTGTGGGCTGGTGTAACCAGGAAGTTCCTACCAGTACAGTACTAAGCACTTGCCTGGGTATTTTGTACCATCGGACACTCCACCCCCACAACTCCCAATCGGTGATGGGGCAGTTGTGGAGAGAGTGGAGAGTTTCCCATACATGGGCAGTGTGCTCATGACCGGCTCCGGTTTAACAGCAGAGCTCTCACTCCGAATCAGTCGAGCGGCAATATCTTTTCATCGGTTACGTAACGCTGTGTGGAAGCTACCTGGTCTGTCGCTCCGCACTAAGCTTCAAGTCTTCTGGGCCACAGTCATTCCCTCCCTTCTCTACGCTTGCGAAACGTGGACCCCCCTAATGGAGCATCTTCACCGGTTGGAAACATTTAGGCTGGCCTGCCTACGATCCATCCTGGGTTTAACCAGGCTGGATTGTGTGAGGAGCTCACAAATCCTTGAAAGATATGGGCAAGGTTCCATCGGTGAGCTCCTCCAGCAGGCAAGGCTGCATTGGCTGGGTCATGTAGCCCGCATGCCCAGCCACCACATGCCTAAACAGCTTTTAAAATATGGAGTATAAACAGCTTTTTTTCGGCCGGATCGAGGGGCTAAACGGGCGCGGCACGGGCTAGAGAAGAGATGGAGTGATGTGGTACAGGAGGACGTGGAGCTGAGTGGACTTGCCGATGACTGGTACCAGCGATGTCAAGATCGGCCTCTGTGGAGGAGGCTCGTGAAGGACGCTACTGGCAGTTGGAGGCAGTTCAGCATATGGGATGTTTGGCCAATGGCGATTACATCGCGCGCGTGTTTGTGTTTACCTATGCCCGAGCCTCAAACGAGTACCTGGCGCGGTGTGTGTAAATCATCAGCACCGGGGAGACAAAGGCGGCCAGGCGTGGTGCTGGCCACCCACCCCCACACCGTGTGCCGTGCCACTCGCCAACAGACAATGCTCCAAACAAGCCCCTGTCGAAGGCTACACGGGTGATCTGTGTCTGTGCGCGCAGCCGTGGTGACCTGCATGCCGTCCGCGCTCATGGGCGGGCGCCCGCACGCCGCTCTCCTGCGGAGCGCCGCGCGTCTCGGTCTCGCCTCGGACCTTGCCTTCATCCCCTACGACGCCATGCTGTACGCGCTGCCCTGGGGGCAGCCCGGACAGGTGGGCAGCCCCGGCACTCGCGGCCCCGGGGGGGGGGGGGGGGGGGGGGGCACGGCTCGCGGGCCAGAAGCGACAACCTGAATTATTCAAATCACACAGCCCGTGACGCCATCTCACCCAGCCAGTGACTCCATCTCACCCAGCCCATGACTCCATCTCACCCAGCCCATGACTCCATCTCACCCAGCCCATGACTCCATCTCACCCAGCCCATGACTCCATCTCACCCAGCCCATGACTCCATCTCACCCAGCCCGTGATTCCATCTCACCCAGCCCGTGACGCCATCTCGCCCAGCCTGTGACGCCATCTTACGTGACTCCATCTCACCCAGCCCGTGACTCCATCTCACCCAGCCCGTGGCTCCATCTCACCCAGCCCATGACTCCATCTCACCCAGCCCATGACTCCATCTCACCCAGCCCATGACTCCATCTCACCCAGCCCGTGACTCCATCTCACCCAGCCCGTGGCTCCATCTCACCCAGCCCATGACTCCATCTCACCCAGCCCATGACTCCATCTCACCCAGCCCATGACTCCATCTCACCCAGCCCATGACTCCATCTCACCCAGCCCATGACTCCATCTCACCCAGCCCATGACTCCATCTCACCCAGCCCGTGGCTCCATCTCACCCAGCCCATGACTCCATCTCACCCAGCCCATGACTCCATCTCAATTGACCGATGACTCCATCTCATACGACCTGTGATAGTGGTGAGTGGTGGGTGGTGAGTGGTTAGTGGTGGGTGGTGAGTGAGTGGTGAGTGGTGGGTGGTGAGTGAGTAGTGATTGATGAGTGAGTGTTAAGGGTGGTGATTGAGTCGTGAGTGGTGAGTAAGGGTGGGGAGTGAGTAGTGAGGGTCGTGAGTGAGTGGTGAGTGAGTGGTGAGTGAGTGTTGAGGGTGAGAGAGTGGTGAGTGAGGGGTGAGTGAGTGGTGAGTGGTGAGTGAGTGAGTGGTGAGTGATTGGTGAGTGGTGAGTGAGTGATGAGTGAGTGAGTGGTGAGTGAGTGGTAAGTGAGAGTGGTGAGTGAGGGTGGTGAGTGAGTGGTGAGTAAGTGTGGTGAGTGAGTGAGTGGTGAGTGAGGGTGGTGAGTGAGGGTGGTGAGGGAGTGGTGAGTAAGGGTGGTGAATGAGTGGTGAGTGAATGGTGAGTGAGGGTGGTGAGTGAGTGTTGAGGGTGGTGAGTAAGTGGTGAGTGATGGTGGTGAGTGGTGAGTGAGGGTGGTGAGTGAGTGGTGAGGGTGGTGAGTGAGTGGTGAGTGAGGGTGGTGAGTGAGTGGTGAGTGAGAGTGGTGAGTGAGTGGTGAGTGATTGGTGAGGGTGGTGAGTGAGTGGTGAGTGAGGGTGGTGAGTGAGTAGTGAGTGTGGTGAGTGAGTGGTGAGTGAGTGGTGAGTGAGTGAGTGGTGAGTGAGTGGTGAGTGAGTGGTGAGTGAGTGAGTGGTGAGTGAGTGGTGAGTGAGTGAGTGAGTGGTGAGTGAGTGATTGAGTGGTGAGTGAGTGGTGAGTGAGAGTGGTGAGTGGTGAGTGAGTGGTGAGTGAGTGAGTGAGTGATTGGTGAGTGAGTGGTGAGTGAGTGGTGAGTGAGTGGTGAGTGAGTGAGTGGTGAGTGAGTGGTGAGTGAGTGAGTGGTGAGTGAGGGAGTGGTGAGTGAGTGAGTGAGGGTGAGTGAGTGAGTGGAGTGAGGTGGTGAGTGAAGTGGTGAGTGAGTGGTGAGTGAGTGGTGAGTGAGTGGTGAGTGGAGGTGAGTGGTGAGTGAGTGGTGAGTGAGTGGTGAGTGAGTGAGTGGTGGAGTGAGGTGGTGAGTGAGTGAGTGGTGAGTGAGTGGTGAGTGAGTGGTGAGTGAGTGAGTGAGTGGTGAGTGAGTGGTGAGTGAGTGGTGAGTGAGTGAGTGGTGAGTGAGTGGTGAGTGAGTGAGTGGTGAGTGAGTGAGTGAGGTGAGTGAGTGAGTTGTGAGTGAGAGTGGTGAGTGAGAGTGGTGAGTGAGTGAGTGGTGGGAGTGGAGTGGTGAGTGAGTGGTGAATGTGAGTGGTGAGTGAGTGGTGAGTGAGTGAGTGGTGAGTGAGTGGTGAGTGAGGGTGAGTGAGTGAGTGAGTGGTGAGTGAGTGGTGAGTGAGTGGGTGGTGAGTGAGTGGTGAGTGAGTGGTGAGTGAGTGAGTGAGTGATTGGTGAGTGAGTGGTGAGTGAGTGAGTGAGTGGTGAGTGAGTGGTGAGTGAGTGAGTGAGTGGTGAGTGAGTGGTGAGTGAGAGTGGTGAGTGAGTGAGTGAGTGAGTGGTGAGTGAGTGGTGAGTGAGTGGTGAGTGAGTGAGTGTGAGTGAGTGGTGAGTGAGTGGTGAGTGAGAGTGGTGAGTGAGTGAGGTGAGTGGTGAGTGAGTGAGTGAGTGGTGAGTGAGTGTGAGTGAGAGTGGTGATGAGTGTGAGTGGTGAGTGAGTGGAGTGAGTGGTGAGTGAGTGAGTGGTGGTGAGTGAGTGGTGAGTGAAGTGGTGAGTGGAGTGGTGAGTGAGTGAGTGAGTGGTGAGTGAGTGAGGTTGAAGTGATAGGTGAGTGAGTGAGTGAGTGGTGAGTGAGTGGTGAGTGAGTGGTGAGTGAGAGTGGGAGTGAGTGAGTGTGAGTGAGTGAGTGAGTGGTGAGTGAGTGGTGAGTGAGTGGTGAGTGAGTGGTGAGTGAGTGAGTGAGTGGTGAGTGAGTTGGTGAGTGATTGGTGAGTGGAGTGGTGAGTGAGTGAGTGAGTGGTGAGTGAGGGTGAGTGAGTGAGTGAGTGGTGAGTGAGTGGTGAGTGAGTAGTGGGTGAGTGAGTGTAGGGTGGTGAGTGAGAGTGGTGAGGTGAGTGAGTGGTGAGTGAGTGAGTGGTGAGTGAGTGTGAGTGAGTTAGAGTGAGTGTGAGTGAGTGGTGAGTGAGTGGTGAGTGAGAGTGGTGAGTGAGTGAGTGGTGAGTGAGTGGTGAGTGAGTGGTGAGTGAGTGAGTGGTGAGTGAGTGGTGAGTGAGTGGTGAGTGAGTGAGTGGTGAGTGAGTGAGTGATTGGTGAGTGAGAGTGGTGAGTGATTGGTAGGAGTGGTGAGTGAGTGGTGAGTGAGTGAGTGGTGATGAGTGGTGAGTGATGTGAGTGAGTGAGTGGTGAGTGAGTGAGTGAGTGATTGGTGAGTGAGAGTGGTGACTGATTGGTGAGTGAGTGGTGAGTGAGTGGTGAGTGAGTGGTGAGTGAGTGGTGAGTGGTGAGTGAGTGGTGAGTGAGTGGTGAGTGAGTGATGTGAGTGATGGTGAGTGAGTGGTGAGTGATGAGTGGTGAGTGAGTGTGAGTGAGTGGTGAGTGAGTGAGTGGTGAGTGAGTGGTGAGTGAGAGTTGAGTGGTGAGTGAGTGGTGAGTGAGTGAGTGGTGAGTGGTGGTGAGTGGTGAGTTAGTGGTGAGTGAGTGAGTGGTGGTGAGTGGTGAGTGAGTGAGTGATTGGTGAGTGATGGTGAGTGAGTGAGTGGTGAGTGAGTGGTGAGTGAGTGGTGAGTGAGTGGTGAGTGAGTGAGTGGTGAGTGAGTGGTGAGTGAGTGGTGAGTGAGTGAGTGGTGAGTGAGTGAGTGAGTGGTGAGTGAGTGGTGAGTGAGTGGTGGTGAGTGAGTGGTGAGTGAGTGGTGAGTGAGTGGTGAGTGAGTGAGTGGTGAGTGAGTGGTGAGTGAGTGAGTGAGTGGTGAGTGAGTGGTGAGTGAGTGGTGAGTGAGTGGTGAGTGAGTGAGTGGCGAGTGAGTGGGAGTGAGTGGTGAGTGGTGAGTGAGTGAGTGGTGAGTGAGTGGTGAGTGAGTGGTGAGTGAGTGAGTGAGTGGTGAGTGAGTGGTGAGTGAGTGGTGAGTAGTGAGTGGTGAGTGAGTGTGAGTGAGTGAGTGGCGAGTGAGTGGTGAGTGAGTGGTGAGTGAGTGGTGAGTGAGTGAGTGGTGAGTGAGTGGTGAGTGAGTGAGTGATTGGTGAGTGAGTGGTGAGTGAGTGAGTGGTGGTGAGTGGTGTGAGTGGTGAGTGAGTGAGTGGTGAGTGAGTGGTGAGTGAGTGAGTGGTGAGTGAGTGGTGAGTGAGTGGTGAGTGAGTGAGTGAGTGGTGATGAGTGGTGAGTGAGTGGTGAGTGAGTGAGTGAGTGGTGAGTGAGTGGTGAGTGAGTGGTGAGTGTGGAGTGGTGAGTGAGTTTGAGTGAGTGAGTGGTGAGTGAGTGAGTGGTGAGTGAGTGGTGAGTGAGTGAGTGGTGAGTGAGATTGGTGAGTGAGTGAGTGGTGAGTGAGTGGTGAGTGAGTGAGTGGTGAGTGAGTGAGTGGTGAGTGAGTGGTGAGTGAGGGTGGTAAGTGAGTGGTGAGTGAGTGGTGAGTAAGGGTGGTGAGTGAGTGGTGAGGGAGTGGTTAGTGAGTGAGTGAGTGGTGAGTGAGTGATTGGTGAGTGAGTGGTGAGTGAGTGAGTGGTGAGTGAGTGGTGAGTGTGTCTCTCAGGCGGACTCAGGCCCGGTGCCGGCTCTGGCCGATGACCCGGCGCTGCGGCGCGCCTACGCCGGGGTCGTGACCGTGACCCGCGCCCTGACCCCTGACCTCCGTGACGCGGCGCAACTCCAGCCCAAGCAGGTGAGGCCAGCAACGTCATCATCATCACTGTCGTTATGATCGTAATCAATGTGAGCATCATCAATATCATGATCCTAATCATCATCATCACCATCACTGTCATCATGATCCTAATCAACGGCATCATCATCATCACTTTCATCATGATCGTAATCAACGTCATCATCATCAATGTCATCATGATCCTAATCAACGTCATCATTATCTCTGTCCTTTCTTGCTGCGACGCTTCCTCCTCTGCCCTCCCATCCCCGTCCCGTCTCCATCCCCGCCCCGTCCGCCTTCCTCAACCCCACCACCACCGCCGCCGCCGCCACCACCACCACCACCACCGCCGCCACCACCACCACCACCGCTGCCATCACCACCACCACCGCCGCCGCCGCCACCACCACCACCACCGCCGCCACCACCACCACTGCCGCCACCACCACCACCGCCGCCGCCACCACCACCGCCGCCACCACCACCACCGCCGCCGCCACCACCGCCGCCGCCACCACCGCCGCCACCACCACCACCACCGCCGCCACCACCACCACCGCCGCCACCACCACCACCACCACCGCCACCACCACCACCACTACCACCATGACCACCACCCCCGCCGTCCCGCCCGCAGGCCTCGCCGCTCTTCGGCACCGTCTACGCCTCGGTGCTGCAGGTGGCGCGTGGCCTCGCCAGGACGCGTGCGCACCGCGGGTGGATCTCGGGCGCCAATGTGGCGCTCGGCGCCCGCCACGAGCGCGACGGCGCCGCGGCCGCCGGCAACGCCAGCTACGTGGTGCTGGTGGCCGACGGGCGCTCGGCCCGCCTGCGCGCGGCCCTCGCCGTGCTCCCGTGGGGCCACGCGGCCGGGGGGCGGCGGCCGCGACGGCGGCTGACGGTGGCGCCCGCCCCGGGAGGCGCCGCGGTCGCCGTGTCGCCCGGCACCGACCCCTACTGCTGGTTCGACGAGGAGTTTGGCTGCTCCGGGGGTGAGGAGGATGAGGGTGGTGGTGGGGAGGAGGGTAGTGGGGAGGAGGGTAGTGGGGAGGAGGGTCGTGGGGGTGAGGATGGGGGGGGAGGATAAGGATGAGGGTGGGGATGATGGTGGGGATGATGAGGGTGGGGATGATGATGGGGATGATGATGAGGGTGGGGATGATGATGGGGATGATGATGGGGATGAGAGTGAGGATGACAGTGAGGATGATGGGGATGAGGATGATGATGGGGATGATGATGGGGATGATGATGGGGATGATGATGGGGATGAGGGTGAGGATGATGATGGGGATGAGAGTGAGGATGACAGTGGGGATGATGATGGGGATGAGGATGAGGGTGGGGAGGATGATGGGGATGATGATGGGGATGATGATGGGGATGATGATGGGGATGAGGGTGAGGATGATGATGGGGATGAGAGTGAGGATGACAGTGGGGATGATGATGGGGATGATGATGGGGATGACAATAATGATGGGGATGAGGGCTTATCATGTGGAAATGTAGATCATTATAGCGGCCACGTTTCTAAATGTGGAGGGAACAACCAGAGGACCCGGAGACGAATTCACGCGACCACAGGGCGAGAGAGAGACGCGCAAACTCCAAATACACAGCAGCAGGCGTCAGGGTCGGGATCCACCCCACGACCTCCTGTAGACCGGGCGAGGTAGTTAACATCTCACCACGATCGCTGTGGCCGTGATTGCTCTGCGTGCTGCAGGAATGGATCTGCCGTACTTGCTGTCGGTGTTGTTGATCATCACGGGCGGCCTCAGCGGAATCACTGGACTCGCCGTGCTCCTCAGGTACTGGGGAAGGGGGGGGTGCGGTGGGGGGGGGCGCTTGGGGGAGAGGGGGCGTCTGCTGTAGGATGTCTGTGATTGAGAGGAACCCTTTACTTCAGCTGAGATTAGAACGTCTCGCAGCGACAGTGGCGGCAGCCGCCACTCCGTGACTCATGTAGCCACAGAGCTGTTGGCGGAGTCACCAAGAGCTCTCGCATTCTCTCTGTCTCTCTCGCTATCTCTCTGTCTCTCTCTATCTCTGTCTATCTCTCTCTGTCTCTCTCTCTATCTCTTCTATCCAACGAACGCGTCCCCGCTTGGACCGTGTTTTCCCCTCCAGGCGGCGGCTGCAGCAGCAGTTGGACCACAGCCACAACAAGCTGATCCTCACCCTGGAGCACCTCGTCTTCATCCTGCCGCAGCTCAGCCGCAAGGTGCGGACGTCCCGGTGCTCCGTAGGGGGGGGGGGAGGAGGTTGTGGTCGTGATGGAGCCACCCACCACCCTGCCCGGTTAGGGCGCAGCGAGAGGCGAGACGCGGTGGCTAGGAGATGTTGACTGCCTCCTCTGGTATACGGGAGGTCGTGGGTTCGATCCGGTGGCTAGGAGATGTTGACTGCCTCCTCTGGTATACGGGAGGTCGTGGGTTCGATCCAGTGGCTAGGAGATGTTGACTGCCTCCTCTGGTATACGGGAGGTCGTGGGTTCGATCCAGTGGCTAGGAGATGTTGACTGCCTCCTCTGGTATACGGGAGGTCGTGGGTTCGATCCGGTGGCTAGGAGATGTTGACTGCCTCCTCTGGTATACGGGAGGTCGTGGGTTCGATCCGGTGGCTAGGAGATGTTGATTGCCTCCTCTGGTATACACGAGGTCATGGGTTCGATCCGGACCTGGTGCGGTGTGGTGAGCGGTGTGGTGAGCGGTGCCCTGTGCGGTGTGGGGTGCGCGGTGCAGTTTATGGACGAGAGCCGCGTGAGCCAGATGAACCGCAGCGTGTCGGAGGCGAACAGCGCCGCCCACGCCGCACGCAACTCCTTGTCGGGGCGCAGCCTCCACACGGCGTCGCCGGAGACAACCAACATCGCCGTCTACGAGGTGAGACACGGGGACGCGGACAAACACGGGGAGACACGGGGGCATGGGGACAATGAGATACGGGAGGACACGGAGACACCGGGGCCACACGGAGAGACATGGGACATAGAGATACGGGGGGTGGGACACGGAGATACACGGGGGCATGGGGACACGGAGATATGGGGAGGGGGGGGGGGCATGGGGAGACACGGAGACGTTGGGACACGGATATACCGGGGGGATTCAGGGAGACACGGAGATACGGGGGAGACACGGGAACACGAGGGGGGGGGGGGAGGAGGATACTGGGACATGGGGATGCAGCGAGCCGTGGGGGCATGGGGACATGGAAATGTGGGTACAGGGGGACACTGAGATACGGGGAGATGGGGACACGGAGACTCGGGGGCAAAGGGGGAGAATCATGAGGACAAAAATACACGCGGACACAGTGACAAGGGGTTACACGGGGAGACACATAGACACGGGGGGGCAGGGGAAGTATGGGGGGACACGGGTTTGACACAGGAAGATACGGGGACACCACGGAGACTCGGGGGTCATGCGGACACGGAGAGATGAGGACAGACGCAGGGAGGCGCGTAGGGACACCGCGGAGATGCGTCGTGGCGTCTGCGCGTGCGTCTGTGAGTGCGTCTGTGCGTGTGTCTGTGAGTGCGTCTGTGAGTGCGTCTATGCGTGCGTCTGTGCGTGCGTCTATGCGTGCGTCTGTGAGTGCGTCTATGCGTGCGTCTATGCGTGCGTCTGTGAGTGCGTCTGTGCGTGCGTCTGTGCGTGCGTCTGTGAGTGCGTCTGTGCGTGCGTCTATGCGTGCGTCTGTGAGTGCGTCTATGCGTGCGTCTGTGCGTGCGTCTGTGCGTGCGTCTGCAGGGCGACTGGGTTTGGCTCAAGCGGCTTCCGAGCGGCATCTTTGGCGACTTCAAGCCCCGCGTGCGCTCCACGTTCCGCAAGGTGCGCCGCTGACACAGCGGCCCCGGAGGTTCGCGGTTCGAATCCGGCAGGCCGCCCTGGGTTAATACGCCGCCGTGGGGCGCCGCGTTGGCGAGATGTTAACGATCTCACCTTGTATACAGGAGGTCGTGGGCTCGATCCTGTCCCTGACGCCTGCTGTATATGTGGTGTTTGCGTGTCTCTATCTGTCTCCCCGTCGTAGCGTGGAGTTTTCTCCGGGTCCTCTGGGTTTTTCTCTCCACGTTTATGAACAACATCACACGTTTAGAGTATTTGGCTGCTTACACATCCCCACGTGATGACGAAGAGCCACTTCGTTGAGCTATCATTTGTGGCCAGGTCGCTTCTGAGAAAGAGCTGCATAGCTCAGAGGGCTTTACCTGGTAAAATAAAATAAAAAATAGTTGAGTTGAGTTTAATCCTGCGACGAACGTCAAAGATCCCCGTGACGTCGTTCGCAAGAGCAGAGCCGTCGCGCCCCAGAGACGCGCTTCGAGAAACGTCGCCGCGAGCGCCTCTCGACTGGAACCCCGCGCCCACCCTCCCCCCGACCCCCCCCCCTGATTGCCGCGAGACGACCGCACGCTGCGTCCGTGAAACGCAAGCGATGGCCGTGCGCTCGGAGAAACGCGCTAAAGCAGGGGTCGGCAACCAAAACAACCACAACAACAACAAACAACAACAACACGAATTTGGTAAAACAAAACAAAAAAACACACCCACCGCAATATTTCAGGAGGCGACATATCCCCGAATAGAGAACGAAGCGCGCTCCTCGATGAGGCGCACGCTGCCACGCAGCTGCGGGGTTCCCTCCCGAGTTAAACTAGAAGAGACCATTTTTATTCCGTTCGAATTTCAAGAGGCGCACTGCGGTCCTCAAAGAGGCATCCTGCGGTCGACGGTCGTCGTCGTCGCCGTCGTCACCGTCGCGTCTCGTTGCGTCTCGTCTCGTCACCGTCGCGTGTCGTGTCGTTGTGTCACCATCGCGTCTCGTGTCGTCCAGCTGCGGGAGATGCGCCACGAGAACGTGAACCCGTTCATCGGCGTGTTCGTCGACTGCGGCGTCTGCGCCATCGTGACGGAGCACGGGGCGCGCGGCAGCCTGGAGGACCTGCTGCAGAACCAGGACACCAAACTCGACTGGATGTTCAAGTCCTCGCTCATGACCGACCTCATCAAGGTGACGGCCTCCCTCTCACCCCCACCCGGAGCGTGACCCCGAGCGCGACCCCGAGCGTGACCCCTCGTGACTCCTCGCTATTCGATGCCAGCCGCCGCCGCCGCCGTGGAGGTGTGTGGTGTGGCGACCCACTGGCCACCCGCCCTCCCAGCCTTCATCAGTGCTGCTCGCTAACAGCACTTGCCCCTACAGTCTGTTAAGGCTATACGGGAGATCTTTGTCTTTGTGCGTGTGTGTCCGCGGCAGGGCATGAAGTACCTGCACCACCACGAGCTGGTGCACGGGCGGCTCAAGTCGCGCAACTGCGTGGTGGACGGCCGCTTCGTGCTCAAGGTCACCGACCAGAGCTACTGCGAACTCAGCCAGCTGCTGCAGCTCACAGCGGAGGAGCCCAAGCCCGACGGTGAGGCAGCGCCGCCACCGCCACCAATACCGCCATCACCATCGCCACCGCCGCCACCACCGCCACCACCGCCACCATCTTCACCATCTCCACCGCCGCCACCATCGCCACCACCGCCACCATCGCCACCGCCACCACCGCCATCACCACCACCACCACCGCCACCACCGCCACCACCACCGCCACCACCACTACCACCGCCACTGCCACCATCTTCACCATCTCCACCATCACCACCACCGCCACCATCGCCACCGCCACCACCACCGCCACCGCCACCGCCACCGCCACCACCGCCACCACCACCGCCACCACCGCCACCGCCACCACCACCGCCACCACCACCACCACCGCCACCACCGCCACCATCTTCACCATCTCCACCGCCGCCACCACCGCCATCACCGCCACCACCGCCATCACCGCCACCACCGCCACCACCGCCACCACAAACATCACCGCCGCCACCACCGCCACCATCGCCACCATCCCCAACACCGTCACCACCACCGCCACCACCGCCACCACCGCCATCACCGACATCACCCTCATCATAATTCATAATCATCATCGCCGTCAACATCATCATCGACATCATCAACATCAACACCACCACCGTCACCACCACCACCGTCACCACCACCACCGTCACCACCACCACCACCGTCACCACGGTGACTCGATTGCGGCCGCCCCTCAGAGCTGCTGTGGACGGCCCCGGAGCTGCTGCGCGACGCGGTGGCGGCGCGGCGCGGCACCTTCAAGGGGGACATCTTCAGCTTCTCCATCATCGTGCAGGAGGTGATCATGCGCAGCACCCCCTACTGCATGCTGGAGCTGTCCACGGAAGGTGGGTCCCGCGCGACATCATCGGGTCACGAAACCCCAGGGCCATGGGGTTGCGGGTCAAAGGTCAGCCAGGGTCATGGGTACCCTGGGGCCCCGAAGTGACGGGGGTTATGAGTCACAGGTCTCCGGGAAGTCATTGAGTCACGAGGCCCTGAGTTTAAGGGTCTCCAGGGTCGTGGGGTTAAGGGTCACAGGTCCCCCGTGGTCACGGGTCACGAGTAACCGCGGCCATGCATCCCTGGGGGGTTGCGGCAGGGGGGCGGTCAGGGTTCATCTTCACGATCATCGTCGTCATCATCATCATCGTCGTCGTCATCGTCGTTGTTGTCGTCGTCGTCATCGTCGTCGTCATCATTATCGTCGTCGTCATCGTCGTCATCATCATCATCGTCATGATCATCGTCGTCATCATCATCGTCATCATCGTCGTCATCATCGTTGTCGTCGTCATGATCATCGTCGTCATCATCATCGTCATCATCGTCGTTATCATCATCATCGTCGTCGTCGTCGTCACCGTTGCCGTTGGCCACGTGCCGCGTGACTTGCTGTGACGCGCGCAGAGATCATCCTCAAGGTGAAGCGGCCGCCCCCGCTGTGCCGCCCGAACGTGTCGGCCGACCACGCCCCGCTCGAGTGCATCCAGATGATGAAGGCCTGCTGGCAGGAGATGCCCGAGCGCAGGCCGACCTTCGACGAGGTCTTCGACCAGGTGGGGCCGGGGCGACGCCCGCGACGTCCCCACGCTCCTCACCCTCACGACGTCCCCACGCTCCCCACGCTCCCCACGGTGGCGACGTCTCACACTCCCCGGCTGGCGACTTTGCTAATCTTCAGAAGCGACCTGGCTGCGAGTGATGGCTCAACGAAGTGGCTCATCACGTGGTGGCATTTGTCAAAGTGACGACGCATCTGCGAAACGACGTAAAAAGAGGAGGGGGGGGGGGGAGACGTAAATGTGGGTACGAGTCTACTAAGAACTCATTTCCCCCCCACCGCCCTCTCTGACTTATACAAACCCCTTAACTCCGGCATCTCTCACACTTCAGTAAAAAAAAAAATCCTGCTGTGGTTGTCACACCTGATGACGATTGCTCGTGTTGCAATCGAAACGTCGTGATTTATTTCAATTTTTTTTCACCTACGTGACTTTACCGAAAGAACCCAAAGAGTATGGATCCTAGCAGTCACGAAAACTTCAAATCTAGAATGTACTAATAGCCCCACGTGACCGCCGCCGTTACGTGACAAGTGGTGCGTACTCCCCCCGCCACCCCCCGAGATGTTCCCCTGAGACGGGAGTGGGGCGCTTGGGGAGCGCCCTGCTAGGGGCCGGGACGTCGTGTTCCGCCCACACCTCCGACAGGCGCGCTTGGCTAGGTACGGTGCAAAAGAAGTTCGACGTGCGTGCGCACGTTTCACATGCCCCGCGCGTTGCCCTCCGCAGTTCAAGAACATCAACAAGGGCCGCAAGACGAACATCATCGACTCGATGCTGCGGATGCTGGAGCAGTACTCGAGCAACCTGGAGGACCTGATCCGCGAGCGCACCGAGGAGCTCGAGGTGGAGAAGCAGAAGACGGACAAGCTGCTCACGCAGATGCTGCCCCCGTGAGCGGCACACACACAGAGACACACACACACAGTGACACACACAGTGACACACACGGAGACACACACAGTGACACACACACACAGTGACACACACACACACAGTGACACACACACACACAGTGACACACACAGTGACACACACACAGTGACACACACAGAGACACACACGGAGACACACACGGAGACACACACAGTGACACACACACACAGAGACACACACAGAGACACACACAGAGACACACACAGAGACACACACGGAGACACACGCACACAGTGACACACACACAGTGACACACACACACAGTGACACACACACACAGTGACACACACACACACAGTGACACACACACACTGATACACACACACACACAGTGACACACACAGTGACACACAGTGACACACACAGTGTGGTGTGGTGGTGAGGTGTGGTGGTGAGGTGTGGCATGGTGGTGAGGTGAGGCGGGGTGGTAAGGTGTGGTGTGGTGGTGATGCGGGGTGGTGAGGTGAGGCACGGTGTTGAGGCGTTTGCAGCTCGGATTGGACCCCAGGACCTCAGTGGTGCCGGCTCACACGATCCCTGACCCTGCACCATGCCGCCTCCTCCATTCTACCGCGTCTCCCTCTCCCTTCCCCTGTCTCTCCCTCCTGTCTCTCCCCCTCTCTCCCCCCCTCTCTCCCCTCACCTCTTTCTCCCCAGCTCCGTGGCGGAGTCCCTGAAGAAGGGCACGCCCGTGGAGCCGGAGCACTTCGACGAGGTGACCATCTACTTCAGCGACATCGTCGGCTTCACCACCATCTCGGCGATGAGCGACCCCATCGAGGTGGTCGACCTGCTCAACGACCTCTACACACTCTTCGACGCCATCATCGGCTCCCACGACGTCTACAAGGTCTGCGCCCGTGTGTCTCTGTGTGTGTGTCTGTGTGTGTCTGTGTGTCTCTGTGTGTCTCTGTGTGTGTCTTTGTGTGTGTCTCTGTGTGTGTCTCTGTGTGTGTCTCTGTGTGTGTCTCTGTGTCTCTGTGTGTCTCTGTGTGTGTCTGTGTGTGTCTCTGTGTGTGTCTCTGTGTGTGTCTGTGTGTGTCTCTCTGTGTGTCTGCGTGTCTTTGTGTGTCTCTGTGTGTCTGTGTGTGTCTCTGTGTCTCTGTGTGTCTCTGTGTGTCTCTGTGTGTGTCTCTGTGTGTCTCTCTGTGTGTTTCTGTGTGTGTCTCTGTGTGTATCTCTGTGTGTCTCTGTGTGTCTGCGTGTCTTTGTGTGTCTCTGTGTGTCTGTGTGTGTCTCTGTGTGTCTCTGTGTGTCTCTGTGTGTGCCTATGTGTGTCTCTGTGTCTCTGTGTGTCTCTGTGTGTGTCTCTGTGTGTGTCTCTGTGTGTGTCTGTGTGTCTCTGTGTGTGTGTCTGTGTGTGTCTCTCTGTGTGTCTGCGTGTCTTTGTGTGTCTCTGTGTGTCTGTGTGTGTCTCTGTGTCTCTGTGTCTCTGTGTGTCTCTGTGTGTGTCTCTGTGTGTCTCTCTGTTTGTCTCTGTGTGTGTCTCTGTGTGTGTCCTCTGTGTGTCTCTGTGTGTCTGCGTGTCTTTGTGTGTCTCTGTGTGTCTGTGTGTGTCTCTGTGTCTCTGTGTGTCTCTGTGTGTCTCTGTGTGTGCCTATGTGTGTCTCTGTGTGTCTCGGGCTGCATTGCGTAGTTATGATATCCATCGGGGTCTGTGCCTATGTATGTGTTTTGAACTTCTTTCGCACTGTACGTAGCCAACCCCCAGCACCATCACAACCCTAACCACCATAACAACCCCCGCCACCACCAGCAGCACCCCACTGCCACAACCACCATAACTCCGTCTACCACAACAATACCTCCACTACCACCACCACCACCAATGCCACCACCGCTACCGTCATCATCATCATCGCGACCAATGCCACCTTCACCACCGCAATGATCGCCACCGACAACCTCGCCACGAGCACCGCCCTACCACCTCTGGCACCAACACCTCCGTCGCCGATGTCTTCATCGCTACCCATTCCACCTTCACCACAATCACCACCTCCAGTGGGGGGGGGGGGGGTGGCACGTGCCCCCCCAATGATCCGATCGAAATCCCTAATTTAGATCGGATCATTGGTGTTTATTAGTAATACATCGGCATTTTGCGACCCCCACTGCCACTGTGTAGCATATTCTCATGTGCCAGGGACTCTATGAGATAAGACAATAGTCTGAGTCCATAATTGGCAATAAGTAATGGCAAAGCGGTTATAAGTGACTCACAGAATTGTGCGCAGTTGCGTAAACAGTACACGACTTCCCTGAAGGCATTCACCTTCAGCGAGCGCGATGCCGATCACACGACGCGGTTCGAATTCGATCCTCGATCGATGGCTGCGCCATCGCCGCACACGCGTCGAATAAAAGCAAGGGACAACTCCTCACTTACTAACAACTCCTCACTTACTAAACAACTCCTTACTTACTAACAACTCTTCACTTACTAACAACTCCTTACTTACTAACAACTCCTTACTAACAACTCCTCACCTACAACAACTCCTTACTCACTAACAACTCCTTACTAACAACTCCTTACTTACTAAACGCTCCTTACTTACTAACAACTCCTCTATCAGTTTCTCATTGCTGGAGGGGTTGCCCCCTCCCTACCTGAAAATCCTGGCGCCGCCATTGCCTCCAGCCGCCTCCCTCTCCGTGGACCTTTGGACCCCCCCCCGCCCCCCCCCCCCCCCCCCCACCAGGTGGAGACGATTGGCGTATGCCTTACATGGTGGCGTCTGGGCTGCCGGCGCGCGGGAACGGCAAACCGGCACGCGGCCGAGATCTCCACAATGTCGCTCGACATCGCTTCAGCGCCGTCGGCTCCTTCAAGCATGCGGCACTGCCTGACGTGCCGGTGCGCATCCGCATCGTGCCTGCACTCCGGTGAAGTCCCGGCCACCACCCACCACCACCAACGCTATCGCCACCACCCTGCACCACCCACCCACCCACCTAACTGCTATATCGCTATGCACCCGGCCAGCCGCCACCACGGACTATCACGCCCCACCGCCACCACACCACTATATCACCGCCACCACCACCACCCCCACTACCGCTATTCGCCCACCACCTGCCACCACCACTATCACCGCCACCACCACTATCACCGCCACCACCACTATCACCACCACCACTATCACCACCACCACCCACTACCGCTATCACCACCACCACCCACTACCGCTGTCACCACCGTGCAGCGCCACCCGGCTCCCACTGCTACCTCCACCGTCACTGCCCGGCACCGCAACCGTCGTGAATGAGAGAGGAATCAAAACTCTGACTTGCCCCAACAGTCTGAGTTAGCTACACGGGGGACCTTCATCTTTCGTGTGTGTGTTGTGTGTGTGATGTGTGTGTGTGTTTTGTGTGTGTGTTTTGTGTGTGTGTTGTATGTGTGTGTGTTGTGTATGTGTGTGTTGTGTGTGTGTGTGTGTGTTGTGTGTTGTATGTGTGTGTGTATGTGTGTGTGTATGTGTGTGTGTTGTGTGTGTGTTGTGTGTGTGTTGTGTGTGTTGTGTGATGTGTGTGTGTTGTATGCGTGTGTGTTTGTTGTGTGGTGTGTTGTGTGTGTT